AATGTACATGTTTAATCCTATCCCAACAATGAACTAGTTAAGATAAGACCCCCCCAAGGGCCCTTTCATAGAGACCCTATACCCCTGAAGCCCAAATGGGGGTTTCCGGCAATAGGGGACCCTACTTGTAGTGTAGTACCCTAAATAGTGGGATCCTTATTATATATAAATAATATATGGACCCACAGATAAGGTACCCCTAATTTTCGGAAACTCCCAAATCTTATGAGCCTTTTTATTCCTGGGCTGCTCTTAGGTCTTGGAAAAAAAACCCCTGTCAGCAGGAGACCCTAAACCCTAAGGCCTAAACCCTAAAGCCCTCAACCCAAATCTTATGAGCCCTAAACCCCTAAACTCTAAAGCTTAAACCCTAAACCCCTAAGCCCAAATCTTATGAGTAGGAGCTCAATGACTTGGCGGAGAGCCAAGAAGCGGCTTTGGCAAACGCAGGGGCGCCCGGCGGGAGATTTTTGTTCAGGTGTCGGATTCAGGCTTTAGGGTTCAGGGTTTAAGTTGAAGACTTAGCATTTAGGGTTTCACGGTATAGAGTTCAGGGCGCCCGGCAGGAGAGTGTCTTCATGTGCCGGATTCAGAGTTTAGGGTTCAGGGTTTTCAGTGTTTGTAGGGTTCAGGGTATAGAAAAATCAGGGTCTAGGTGGTTCAGGGTTATCAGATTCAGTATTAGGGTTTGGTGTTTAGGGTCTTTGTTGAGTAAGGCTTGTTTTCGGATTGTGCGGTTGAGTTGTGTTCTGAAGCCGGGCTTGTACTTGTAGATGTTTATATAGATCTTCGGAGGGCTCGGACTGTTGATGTTAATATTTGAGTTGTTCAAGGCATTTGGTCGGGTGTCGCGCACAACCTTCATACTCTAGGTTGCAAATAAGCAGCAGCGCTGACAAGTAGAGCCACAAAAGGGGCGTCGGACGAAGCAAAGACGCACCTCTTAAGGCCTGGAGAAAGTCAAGCGGCACATGATAAGCCCCCATACCCTAGATCCTAAACTCAAAAGCTTAAGCCTGAGTGACGAGGGTTCTCGGGGCCCCCAAAGCTTAAAAACCCAAAACCTGGGCAGTTCCGATTCAAGTCGCTCGAGGTCTCAGTTCCGGATGAATTCCTCGATCCGATCATGTCCGAGATCATGGTGCGATCCTCATTGCCACTTTAGGGATAAGGCTTTTTTGACTCACGACAGCTTTCGGGTTGGTGTTTCATCCCTGCGAGTTTGCCAAAGGGGCTTGAAGACTCATAACCCATTGGGTTTCGGGCAGCACATTAGGGTTTAGGGGTTTAGGGGTTTAGGGTTTTACAGGGATTGCTAAATATTCGGACCGCTCCATTTTATGAGGTTGTTGGGCTTCGACACTAAGCGTTCCTGGCTGCGGTGACCTTATCAAGGATGTAGGGGCCTCCGGAAGGTGAGCAGAGATGTTGTGCTTCAATCCCGAAGGCACTAATTTCTCATTTGTTATATAGAAACCTGGGTAGATGCTTTTGTCATTCGTGGGACGATGATGATGGATACTTTGAGACGGACCATGAGATCTCAGAGTTGGCTCTATTCGCGAAGAGCATGAGCCTCTAGCCATGTGGGAGTTTTCGAAAATAGGGGACCCTGACATGGTACCCTAAATAGTAGGATACTTATCATAAGGACCCCAGAATGAGGTACCCCTATTTTCGGAAACTCCCATGTATCAAGGGAGCTTGAGGGGGGAGAAAGGGCCCAGAGGTAAGGTGCCTTGCCTCGCCCAGCTGGAACCATTTCGTGCAATCTTAGGGGAGGGACTGGTGGAAAGAGGTTGCATTCCAGCGTGACCTCTGGGCATTGGGCACTATTTGTCTTCTGTTGTTTCCGCATGCTGGAGACCCTCCAAGACTCCAAGAGTTGATTAGTTTCAACCAGGGATCGTTGCAAGCATGCGTATACCCTAGATGAGGCTGCGGGATCCGTTTGCCGATTTCATGTGGAATAGACTGCGATCGTTTGGCAGCTATGGCCAGGCTCTCCCTGCCAGGCGCTTGCTTAGCCTGTTATGAAGATTGGCGGGATTTGGGTTTTAGGGTTGAGGTTTTACAGGGCCATTTAAATCCTACAGAGGAGATTAAGAGCCTTGTACGTAGCACGACTCTCCCGACTATCCCGTTACTGTCCATGAGCATATATGGGGGGTTGTCAATATTGGGGTCCCTTTTGGGGTCCTTATTATGATACGGCACCTAATATTTAAGATGCCCAAAAAGGGACCATAATGTTGACAACCACCCATATATGACGTGCCTCGGAACCCATTTTAATTCTTGAGGCCCCGTATATTGAACCCAGAAGCCCTGAAGGACAAGCCCGAAATTTCAATGTGGTACCCCGAAACCCTGAACGGCCTAAGCCCCGAAACCCGAAATCCTGGACCCCAACCCTGCAGCCCTGACTCCCACAGCACCCTCACCCCTCAGCCCGACATTGTAGCCTAAACCAGCAACTCCTACACCGTTATAGCCCCTAAGACCTGAACTGCTAAGCCCTGAGCCCGACATTTTGGAAAGCCCCCGCATAGGTTGATCCCGTGCTTCTTCCGACCTCCAGTGCAATCATGGACAGGAAGGCTGGAATAAATATTTTCCTCCGCGTGTGATATGGCTGATTTAGATTTAGTGGGTCCTTTAAGGATTCCTGCAAGGGTTCCTGTTAAAGGTTACTCTTGGGGTTCATTTAACGGTTCCTTTAAGGTGTATTTAGTGATCAGGTTTCCTAAGAGCTAGGGCTTTGGCGTGTGGGTTTTCGCTTTGGAGGGTTAAGGTTTTAGGGTAAGGGCGGCATAATGCTTAACGGGTTTAGCACAATGGTTTTCCATGGATTTCATGCAAGGGTTTCTGAAGGTTTCTATGCTGTGCCTTTGTGGATTGCGGCCATACTTATGCTACCCGCGACCCTTCGCCAGCAAAAGCGCGAGGTATGCACGCGTCGAATCAAACCCCAAGCCCGAGGCAGCGGAACTTGTACTGTTCCGGTCCCAGCCTTCAGGGTCCAGGTAATGTAGAGGCCTTCCTTTACCCGAAACCATGACCCTAAGCAGTCCCTTATGGTTCCTTCCAATTTGCATCATCAGGTTGATGCATGGCTGCCAGCCGCATCACGGCAGGGTGCTCGCATCGCAGAAACTCCACGTCGTGGCAGGGATGCAAAAACCGCTTGATTTCCGAAGGTTTCCCACTTGGTGTCGGCCTTCTTCGCGTGGACCGCATGTCGTTTCCCGGCGCAGGAAGCTCCGCGAAATGTGGGTTTTTCCGCAGGACGACCCGCCTCCAACCCCTATTCTAACTGTAGCCCTCCCTCGGACTTGTAAGAAGTTGCTTCTCCACAAACATGTGGGTGGTTGTCAAAGCTAGTGTCCCTTTTTGGGTACCCTAAATGATAGGTGCCGGATTATAATAGTGACCCAAATAGGACCATAGTTTTGACAACCATCCATGTGTTTCTTTTTCCGCCACATCGGTGAAGGCTAGGTGTGCCCTGCTGGACGGTGGAGTGAAGCTGGGCTTTGGTGTCCCATTTCCCGCTGCCTCCGCTGCAAAAAAACCTATATACCCACCACGGCAGGTTTGGGTTTACTGTCTGAGGGTTTTCGGGACGCCATAAAAAGCATAGACTGACTTGGAAGGTTTGATGGTAGTCTGGAAAGTTCCCGGCAGACTGAGTACAGATGCGAGATCTGCATCCAGCATTTTCCACATGACCAACAGCGAACCAAGCACGGAACTTCAGATGTTGAAAGGATTTAATCCTACACCTTACGCGTATCGAGCCATATCGGGCCCATATTTTCGTATCAGCACCCATGGAGAGCCTGGTAATGAGGCTTGTACCAGAAACCATTAAACCCCAAACCTTAAACCCAAAAACCCTAAACCCTAAACCCTAAGCCCTAAACCCTAAATCCTAAAAACAGAAAACCTAAGCCCCCCTCACGGGCAGGTCATTGAACGGCACATCATGTCCAATGATGATGACCCCTTCAACCGGATGCCGCTGGGAGTCAAGGTCGGTATCGGTTCGGTTATACCTAAAGTCTCCATTGTAGTTCCTTTTTTTGGTTATCCATTTTTATGGTTAGGACCCTATAATAGAGATTTTGGTTAACCAAAAAAAGGAACTACAATGGAGACTATAGGTAATAATTAGAATAGGGAATTGGGGCCCATTATACTATAACTATATATTAAGGAACCCCCAAAATAGTATAGTTAATTATTAAGGCCCCTATAGTGACCAAGGGTTCCATGTAGTGGGTCTGCAGAGGGTTCAGGTTTACTTAAGGTTTGACAAACGGTGGCGTTCTGAGGGTTCTGTTGATACCTTTTTTATTCAATCTAAGGGTTCTAGACTCGGCATTTGCGGTAAATCACTGTTTCGTCTATAGCCCCTGACGGCACCCTTGCCTTGTTGGCCTCGCCCTTCGGGGTCTTATGCTTATGGGTGTCGTCGTAGTTCGCAAACACCCAAACCGGCGGGGCCCAAGCTTCTCATCCTTGAGGCCGCGAACACGGATCCGTCTGTTTTTTTGTTATCCGGTGTTTATGATGTTAGGGATTTTGTTTCACGGTTTAGGGCTGGGATATACACAGCAAAAAAACTAACTCAGCCACCACCCTAAATGTTTTGTATTCTGACTATGTTCGTACCTTTAACCTGCTCAGCCCCTAAACCCCAGACCCTTAACCCACTTGGTCAACATGAGGGAAATTGTGCCTGTCCTTGTTGTTTGGACGCTTTCCTGAGTCTGTAAGTGGTTATCAATACTCGTTTGGGCTGCATATCTGAGTTTTGATTTCATATGCATTATGGCCTTTTCGGCTCTGCGCACAGGAGCCATGTTTCCAAAACTCCGCTTTCCTTAGCTCAATGCTGTGGAGTTTCTGGGCAGAAAAACTAAGAACATCCTGCGTGACAGGGTTCGGAAGAACCTTACACCCAGAAGCCGGCAGTGGCCGTTCTTGGAGCTCCGATGTCGGTTCATCTGACTGTGGCCCTTGCCACTTGGCTCGGCAGCAACAGTCTTTGCATGGGTTACCTAAACCTACCTTTGTCTAGGGCGACGGCCAGCCTACAAAAGAGCGCGCTATGGTAGCTTAAGGTATGGGGTGATAAGATGGTCGGGTCAAACGGTTAGATGGAATAAGGGTTTCGGTTTTTCAATCGCAGTTGGCGATGTTTTCTTACGTCGGCATCATCCTCGTCCTCCGTTCATCCGAAACCCTAAACCCCGAAACTCTGAACGCCCAACCCCCCCCCAAAAAAAAAAAAATCCTAGCACCTAAACCCTAGACCCCTAAAGCCCTACACCTTAAAACCCTAAACTTGGCGTTCTTCTGGTTGGCTCTTAGGACTTTAACTTTTTGTGTTTCTATATGGACTTTAATAAGGGGGCTAAGAGTTTAACTTTTAGGAGGGGTTCAGAAGTCAGCCAAGCAAAGGCAAGTGGCAGACATGCTGACATCGACGTCAGCCCTGGGGCTACGATCGAGGATCTGAGGCGCCAAGCGCAAGAAGAGCCTTGGTCCTTCGTTGGGGTTTAGGGGCTCAGTGTTCAGGGGTACTTAGACATATTTTTAAATTTTTGGTTATTATAATCCCTAAGAAACAGCTAAAACTATAATTTTAGCCAGGGTTCTAAGTCCAGTATAGTTTAGGGTTTAGGGTTTTAGGGGTTTGGGTTTAGGGGTTTAGGGTTTAGGGGTTTAGGGTTTAGGGGTTTAGGGGTTTAGGGTCTTAGGGTCTTAGGGTCTAGGGGTTTGGGTTTAGGGTTTAGGGGTTTAGGGTTTAGGGTTTAGGGGCCGTGGTCCTTCTTTTGGGTTTGGGGTTTCGAGTTTATCATGGGTTTGGGGATTGGAATTTAGTGCTTAGGTTTAGGGGTTTAGGTAGGGTTTAAGGTGTGGGGTTTGGAGTTTCTTAGGGTTTGGGTTTAGGTACCGTTTAGGCTTTGGGGTGTAGAGACTACGGCTTAGGTTCTAGGGTCTAGGGTTCAGGGTTTGGGGTGTCTAGATTCAGGATGCTCAAAGGGGTTCCTTGCAGGGTCTTTTCAACGGATTTCTGTAAGGCCTACCATAAGCTTTTCTTTTTGAGAGTGTATAGTACACTTACTTTGTTGTTTCAACCGTTTTCGCAAGGGTTGTAAAAGGTTTCTATGAGGCCCCCAAACGAGTTTACAGTAAACCCCATAAAGTTGGAAACCGGATTAAGGCAAAATAGCGTTGGGACTTCTTATACGTTGCTCTTACGGATTGAGGCTATTTGGTTTCCAACTTTTGGGCTTCTAGTGTAAGAAAAGAAGTTTCTATAGGGGTTCTTTCATGTCTTGGGTGTTTCTTCATATCATTGCAAACTGAAAAGAAGACATTGGTCTACAGAGGCCAGGATGCTGAGTAAGGGTATCTCTCAGAGTCCCCTTAATAAGAGGAAATCAAACTTGCATTCTGAAGTTATAGGATCCTTAAGGCGGGGTGGTTCAAGGGGGGAGGGTACAAGGAATCCTTAGGGGACTGTAAGGGAACCTTAGGGAGTACTAGGGAGAGCTAGGGATCACTAGGCTATATACCCCCCTTGGAGCCCCCTCCCTTAAGGATACTATAATGAAGACGTCCGTATAAGCCCTGAGCCAAGCCTTAGACACAAAATCCTTACCCAGAGGCCCCATAGTAGCTCCTTTTGGGGATTACCTTATAGGATTCTACACATGGGTGGTTGTCAAAATTATGGTACCTTTTTGGGGTCCTTATTATAATACGGCACCTATTATTCAGGGTACCCAAAAAAGGGGCCATAATTTTGACAACTCCCCATAGGAACCCCCAAAAGGAACTACTGTGGGGCCTATGGGTATTCTTTAGAGAGAACCGAGGAGCTGGGTGGTTCCATCCGCCATCTCCTGGGTCCGAGAGGACGTGGTTCACTTCGGGATTAGGGCTTAGGGGTTTGGGGTTTAGGGGTTAGCGGTTTAGGGTTTAGGGTTAAGGGGTTTAGGAGTTTAGGGTTTTGGGGGTTTAGGGTTCAGGGTTCACTAAAGAGATTTAGAGGCTCGGGTATTTGGTTTTCCCTAGGGATCAAAATAGCCCAAAAGCCATATATATAGATATATATATATATATATATATATCTATATATATATATATAGTATGGTCTTTGGGCCCAGAAGTTACAGCCTTTACATTTGAGACCTTAGATCCCTAGGGTTTAGAAGTGCTTTAGAGATTTGGGGTTTGGAGATTTCGGGTTAGCAGGCTGAGGGCGTTACTGGATTTCGAAAGGCTTTGTGATCTCTGTGGGCTCTTAGCTCTCTGTAGGCTCACGGTCCATAGGATTTCGGCTTTGTCAGGGTTCCGAATGCGCAGTGGCAGGAGATGCGCTGCCAAGAAGTTCTTCTGTGGGAGAAGTCGGCCTTGCAGATGGAGCCGTGCTGACTGCCGTGGTGGCGGAATGCCAGGCGCTGGGGGCGAGCGAGTGAGTTTCAAATCTCGATCGTGAATCAGGGGGTATATATGTCTATGTGTGTATGTGCCTGCGTGCGATGGGCGTGTGCCCGTTGCAAGACTTAGATCCTGATTTTTGTAGATTCTGCAGTACGTGCGGAGTTTCCAGCGGAGTTTGATCGTTTGTAGGGCCGCCACCTGCGAGTGCCGGCTCTTTACCAACAGAATTCCTACGCCCAAAGCCCGAAAGGCCCCGAAAGCTCTAAAACTAAAATGTTTTAGTCCTAGACCCTGAACCCTGAAGCCCTTAACAAGCCATCAGGGTTTCTTCTTATTATGTCTGTGCACAGTATCCCGCCCAACGTTCCTAAGGCTCGGTTTACTTAAGCATTAAGTTACTAACCGTACTATGCTATATGACCCAGTAACCCATTTAGGGAACTGGAGACCTGGGGAAATAGATGTTTCAAGCATTTTTCTGAATCATCTAATTAGTTTACATATGGGTGGTTGTCAAAACTATGGTCCCTTATTGGGCACCCTAAACATTAGGTGCCGTATTATAGTACCACAATTTTGATAACCACTCATATGGTTCAAGTTTTAAGGTCCATGCAAAAAGCGCCGGTACCCCTGACCTGTGTGCAGGTGGCAGCATCGATGTTGGCTTTTGCATGCCTTCGAGGTGATTCTTCGTTCTCCAAAGCTAGGGGCTGTAGGGGTTCAGGGTTTAGGGCTAGGGGCTGTAGGGGTTCAGGGGTGTAGGCTTTAAGTAAGGGTTTAGGGTTGCTTGGGGGTCTATCGGCATGAGAAGGACCGCTGCAGGAGCCTACGGCTGGCTCTCACCTCTGGGGTTCCGTAAGCTTTCATATGTGGGTGGTTGTCAAAATTAGGGTCCCTTTTGGGTACCCTAAATATTAGGTGCCGTATTATATTAAGGACCCAAAAAGGGACCATAATTTTGACAACCACCCTTGTACTTCCTTGGTATGGGGAAAGTAAAGTTCCAAACCACCATCAACCTGAAATGCGGACCTTAAGCTTTAGAGCTTTAGGGCTCCGGGGTTGGAAATACCTTATACGGATAAACCCACGGAGAACACCAAACTCTCACTACCGACGAGCACATACTTAAACCCTAATTACACCCTAAACCCTAAACCCCTAAGCCCTTTATGAACCCTAAACCTTAAAACCCTGTAGACCCTGCACCCCAAACCCAAATTAAGGCGACGGCAGCGTCACGACTCTTGGGCCCGAGAAGTACGGCGGCGACTGCGGCCTCGCGCAAGAGTCGCTGCAGAATCTTGGCCTCGAAACAGACGGCGTTCGTTGATTTTTCTGATGAAAACGTTATCAGTTTAGGATTACAGGGTTTAGACGGCTCAGGGTTTGGGGGTTCAGGTTTAGGTACAGCATGCACTTATCTTACGTACTTTGGTCTTTTGGCCTATTCTGGGCTGCTCAGAATGAGGAAATTCAGCTGTTTGTATGGCCAAGGACGGTGGTGAAGATCCAAAGTACCCTGCGCCAGTTCGCGGCCATTCGAGAAGACGGCACTGTGGTTCATTGGGGACGTACCTGGCTCCAATTTCCTGCTATCTTACCATGGGGCTTAAAAATAGCCCAAAAGCCTCTTACATTATGCTCTTTGGGCCCAAAAGCCTTGATATACGACTCCTTAGAGCCCTAGCGTTAGAGATTAACGCTTATTTAGTGAAGCCGTAAGCCCCGAAGACCAAACCCCGGGCCCTTGCCTCCCAAAAACGAACCCCAAAGCCCTTCTTTAAGGAACAATCATACCATTTGGTTACGGGGCATAAAATACCGATGTCCTACCCAGGGTCTCCGGAGGAATACCTCTATACTCTTGTTTTAGCGTCGGGGGTTGCAGGTGATGTCGCGCCCCTTCCGGGAGAGTTCAAGGCAAAGGAGATCCAGTCGACCAGTCTCGCTTTTGCGGCAATCTGCCCGGATGGCTCCCTGGTACCTTGCTCCCTCAGTGGCTTTTAGTTTAGGGTTCTGGGGCTTAGTAGTATCATGCTTGTTCATTCTGTGTTTTTGGACTTCCTGTTCGGCTTGAGTCGTAGGATTCGAGAAGATTTGTTTTAGTCTTTACCCCTAAACCCTAAACCTTCTGGACCCAGTGGGAGTGCCATTAAACCTAGACCCAAAGCTCTTGAACCCTGGACCACTAACCCCCTCGCCAGAAACCTCTGCACCCCATAACCCCTAAAGTTAGGTTTACATGGGATATCCCTATCCTAATCTTTGCTTATGTGCTGATTGGGGCCCCATAAACCTAAGCGCCTAAACCCTAAACTCCTAAACCGCTAAACCCTATATTCCTAAGCCCCTAAACCTTAAACTCCTAAACCCCTAAACCCTAAACTCCTAAGCCCCTAAACCTAAGTCCCTAAGCCCTAAACTCCTAAACCCCTAATCCCTAAACTCCTAAACCCCTAAACCTTAAACTCCTAAACCCCTAAACCTTAGGTCTCATGGGGCGACCCGTCCTCTGGTGGCGACAGCCAGGAAGTGCAGGCGCAACTGCGCAACGTGCAGCAGCTGCAGGCAAACTTGACGGCTCCAAAAATACTACAGGGGCCTTAAATACAACTGCCAATACTATTTTTTGGGGGGGGTCCTTGTTAGAATTATAGTATAATGGGCCCCAAAAGCTATTCTAATTATTAAGGCTCCAAAGATGCAATCTACATCGCGGCACCTCAAGAGTACCCACTTCACGGTCTAAATCCTGTCTATTACACTTTGTAGCACACTCTGTGGGTATGTGGGATGTATGCATGTATGAATGTATATGTTTATGCAGGTATGCATGTATGTATGTGTATTTCCCTTCTGTAAGGCTCCAAGTCTACGAACAGTAGCGTCGGGATCGATAGTTCTTACGTCGTGCCGTCTCTTCGCGTTTTGGAGCTCCAGGCAAACACGGACTCCTTCGCTGCAGTCTGTGCTGACGGAGGCGTGGTCTGTTGGGGAGGCCGTTCGGTTCCAAAAGCTCTGAGGACCCCTGGGGTTTCGGATTCCGAAACCCTGAGGGTTTCTGGGTGAAGCCGACCCCCAAAGCTTGCAATATAGATGCCTGACTCGAGAACTAGCCACACTATCTCCTTCTCGGCCTTGTATAGTCCCAGCGTATGATATACCCCCAAGACACTCTTCTACTTGTTGAATCAGTCCTGCCTTCCCTTGTTCTTTAAACTCACAGGTTTCCCTGAACCCTAAACCCTGAGGTTTCCTGGATCCGGATGATGACGAGCTGAAAGGCGTGGAGAAGATCCAGGCAACGTCTGCGGCTTTCGCAGCTCTTCGCCGCGATGGCTCCGTCGTAACCTTAGTTTAGCGTTCAGGGTTTAGGGTTTAGGGGTTTACTGGTTTAGGGTTTAGTGCTCTTTTAGTTTGTAAGCTTTAGGCAGAAGCGAAAGATGCTGGGCTGAATTGTTGTTCAGAGAAAGCCGCTGAGGTGGTAACTTGGGGTCCTGCCCAGAATGGTGGCAACTGCAGCAAGGTTCGAGACCGCCTAAAGAACGTGCAGCACATCCAGGCCACTTATATACCCTGCAGTACCCTAAACCCTGAACCCTAAACTGTAAAATCATAAAAAAACCCTAAGCCCTAAACCTTTTAGATCCCAAACCCCCGATCCGAATCACAAAAAGGCCAATCCAGGCAACCTATTCCGGAGCTTTTGCCGCAATCCGCTCAGATGGCAGCGTGGTGCCTTGGGGCCTCAAAAGGTAGGATGAGCTGGGTGGGATCAAGGTTCACTTAAATATGCCCTGAAGGCTAAAACTAAACCCGAAACCCCAAACGCTTATTGGGCCCTAAACCTTAAACCCTTATTGGGATCACCCACCCACCTCCATCCCCCCTCTATATACATATATATATATATATATGTATATATCTATATATGTATATATGTATATATGTATATATGTATACGTGGGGACTTGTTGGGATTACCCTAAACCCTGGGAACCTTTTGAGGTGACTTGGGGATGGCAAGACTTCGGAGGGGACAGCACGGCAGTCGAAGATCACTTAAAGCAAGTGAAGGACCCTCTTTTTGATTTTTGTACCTATAGTCTCTACAGTAGTTCCTTCATCTTTTTGGCGGGGTCTCTAATACTGATAATCATGATGATAATACTAATAGTAATTAGTAATGAAGAATAATGGTATTACTAGTCTCCATGGGTCCTCTTTTCTTTCTTGTAACCCCTTTTTGTACAAAGGGTCCTAAGATAATCATTTTATAGCAAGAATTACGATACTCATACTAATGGTATCCATGCGAGGTCCTTTACTGGGGTCCTATAGTAATTATTGCAATCATGATCATACTAATAGTAAGAATAATGATACTACTAGTATGCATGATAGTTCCCATTTTTGGTGTAACCAATTTGATATGAAGGGCCCTAATTAAGAGGTAGCCCCGAAAAGGAGCCGCAACGGAAATAGGTGGTGTATGTTTTTACTTTGTTCCCGGCTTCTGATGTTTAACCCTGAAGACGTATAGCTTTTTCCAGAGATTTACTGAGCAGCCCGAGAGGAAATCCAGTCTAGCCACGGTGCTTTTGCTGCCATTCGCCATGACGGATCTGTTGTGACTTGGGGTTCAGCTGCATATGGGGGTGACAGCAGCGCAGTGCAGACAGAACTGCGAGATGTGCAGAAAATCCAGTCCACTGACTTTGCTTTCGCCGCAATCCGCTCGGACGGATCCGTCGTGACCTGGGGAGCCAAACAGTTCGGTGGATGCAGCGACGCAGAGCTGCATCATGTCTTGCACATCCAGTCTACCAGGAGCGCATTCGCTGCGATCTGCTCCGACGGCTCGGTTGTGACGTGGGGTGTCGCAGAAGAAGGTGGAGACAGCAGCTCAGTGCAAGAGCAGCTTCATGATGTCGTGCACATCCAGTCTACTAGCAGAGGATTTGCTGCCATCCTTCGCGACGGTTGCGTCGTGACCTGGGGTGGCGGCGAGTCTAAATCGTTTCAAGATTACCTCTACTCCCTCTTCGACTGAGCTCGAGCGGAGAAAACTGTCTAAGTTGAGACCTGCTAAAGCCCCTACTTCCTAGATCCCAGCCCGGAAACCCTTCAGCCCTGCCCCGAAATTGTGTTGTAACTCCGAACTTGCTTCTTAATTCTAAGAGTGGCTCTGCTGGATTCTGGTTTTCTTGGAGGCGCCGGCTAGTACTTCTGTTGACAGTACAAATCCTGCATTACCCTAAGAACCCTAAACTATGGAAATTATGGTATTTTCCTTATTATGGGTAATGCAGGATTTATATCATCAACCGTTGCGTCGAGCTGGACCAAGCACCGGTTCAAGAGAAGTAGAGAGATTCGCTGTCCGAGTCCCAGGGCTGATGGTGCCATGCTTGAAGGGTTTTAGGGTTTAGGGTTTTAGGGTTTTAGGGTTCAGGATTCAGGGCGTAGGATTGATGGTTTAGGATCTAGGGTTTGGAGGCTGGGGCTGGGGGGTTTGCTGTTCATTTTCTACCAGTCAAGTTGTGCGGCTTATCGTAAACTCGTGAATGCTACACCTTTGCCCGTGATACAAAACGGTGATGAAAGCGAGCTTCAGATTGGGGCCTTCAATCAGAAACGGGGTGTCACTCAGGGCTCTGCATTCGAGTTCACAGGGTCTCGGATGTGGCGTATGCAAATGTGAGGGGAAAGATCACAACAAGGCCAGAGCCCCAAACCCTAAGCTCTAAGCACCAAGCCTAAACTGAAAAAGCTGAACCCTAAACCTTGAACTGCAAAGCTTCAACTCTGAACCATACGCCAAGACGTACAGTGACCCGGGATCGGTTATGGGTTTAGGGTTTGGGCTTTAGGGTTTAGGACCCTAAACCCTAAACCTGAAACCCCAATAGCGGGCCAGGACCTCGTTCCGCAGAAGGAGCTTCGAGAGAGGATCGTCGAGTTCTGTGCTAAACATGGTGCGGCCCCTACTGTGATATCAAGGGTCTAGAGTTCAGGATACTTAGGGTTCAGGGTCAAGGATATAGGGTACGGGGAACAGGTTGAAGGGCTGAGGTTCAAGAGTGTCAGGGTTTGGCAACGACTGTACTCTTCTGAGTTTGAGCCCATGGTCGTTACAATTCAGCCAAACTCCAAACCCTAAACCCCAAACAAAGACCCTAGACCCTAAACCCCAAATCATAAACCTCAAATCCCAAACCCTTAAACCCCCCCAAAGGCTAGACCCTAAACTCTAGCCGCTTAGCCCCTAAATCCTAACCTAAACCCTAAACCCTAAACTCCCCTAATCCTAACCTAAACCCTATACCCTAGACCCTAAACTCTAGCCGCTTAGCCCCTAAATCCTAAGTTCACTGCAGAGACTTTGCCCAGGCATCGTCCTCGGCGGTGAGGCACGGAACGACGACGGCTTAATGTTTGGGTTGTTAGTGCCTTTTTTTGGGTATAGGGTATAGGGTTTAGGGTTTAGGGTAGTATGTTGTAGCATGTTACTAGTATCAGAAAGAATCCTGAGGAATAGTATCAACCGTGCATTCATGTATGTGATGAATGTCAGAAGGAAACCCGGACGATGAATATCACCATGTTCGCTTCACCAGGATTGAAATATACATTGTGATGCTCCTTGCTATCCCGTAAAAAATTATATATGATATTTGAAAATGTGCGTGTTTTGGCTGCAGGTGAGGTGTAAGGTTCAGGGTTGTTCAGTCAGCCGTGGCATTTTTAATTTAGCATCACATGATTGTGTTGCTCACAAGAAGAGGCCCTCGAGGCATGCCCTATCCCATGCAAATGCCGAATCTCTTTGAAGCCTACCTGGACCCCAAAAATATGTAGAATCATGGCCTTTTATAGGTATTGGGCCAGTATGTAGCCTACTTTTAGGGGTTTAGGTAACGACCCAACCGCTGCAAAAAACTCCTCCGAAAGCGATGCCCGTGCTTTCGCACGTCCTGTGAGCCAGAAAGACGACGTTCCAAACGTACTCCCGGATCATGCCCGAGCCCCACAGCAAAAAGTGTATAACTCTCTTAGGCCCTTTGCCCCTTGCGAAGACACCGAAACCCTGAAACCCTAAACCCTGCTAGGAAGCCCTTGGCCCTGAACCAAGAAGTTCGAGAACCCCAGTTCCGAAAGTTCACGAAAGCCCAAAACCCTAAAACCCTAAATTTTAAAACCCCTAAACCCTTAAACACTAAACCCTGAACCCCTAAACCCTAAAGACCCACAACAGGAAAAGAACCAAATATTCACCAGGATTGAAGAACCTTCTGTCCAGGACATGGGTTGGCAAACAAGTTCGGCATTAGGGTGTAGGGCTTTGAGGGCTTTTAGGGTTTACCTAGAGGTTTGGTAGTTCCTGTTGGGGGTTCAGATATAGAATCCTATAAGGTAATCCCGAAAAGGAACTACTACAGAGCCTATGGGTAGCGGTTTAGGGTCAAGGGTTTAGGGTTTAAGTTTGCAGGGGTTTGCCGGCTTTTAGGGTTTAGTGGGTGTTAGAGGGTTTACGGGTTTAGGGTCTCTAGAGTTCATCCCTCAATGCCGCAGGTTTGGTCGATTTCTGAAGTCTTACGTGCTCTTTGTGGATCCAGACAGGGGTCATGATTTAGATAAGTAACCATGTATTAATTATTAACATGTATAGATCCCTTTTAAATTCCTTTCCGACCTTTCGAACTTTGCAAGAAGCACCCTTGTCATTTGTGCGGCCGGTTCTTCTGAAGCCACAGCCCTTTGGCCCTGAAGTTGGCTGTCTTCTGTGTGTTTTACTCGGGCTTTTGGGCATACAGTATGGTTTAGTGTGTGGAGGTTGGGGATGGAGCCCTAAAGCCTAAACCGGTTTAGGGTTTAGGATTTAGGGATGGAGTGGCTTTTATGAGCTTCCAGACTTATAGCTGCCAGGCTCGGGGTTTGCTCTTCGGAGGGGTGCACAACTGGGGAGTTTCCGAAAATTAGGGGTCCCTTATTTTGGTGTCCTTATAACAAGGATCCTACTGTTCAGGGTACTATGTTAGGATCCCCCTATTTTCGGAAATTCCCAAATCAGCCCGTCAAATCCCCAAAAGCAGAGGCTGCGCTTGTGACCTCCACCAGCATCTCCCACAGACGCCGAAAATCGCACGCACCTTTAAATCCCCTAAAGCTCTGATATTGTCGGAGGCCTCAACAGGTGGGATGAAGGTAGGTAGGATCAAGGATCCCTTATATAAGGACTCGTATTTGGGAATATCCCACCTACCTTCATCCCACCTTTTGAGGCCTCCGGTATTAGTATGAAGCCTTTTGTTTTTGCTTTAAGGGGACATTGTGGTGTAGCCACATAGGGGACTTCCAGGGAAAGACTGCTTTATTCTCATTGCGCAGAAATGTACGTTCGAGCCTGAACAGGAGCCTAAACCCTAAGCCCCTTAACCCCTAAACCCTAAACCCCGAAACTCCTAAACCCCTAAACCCCTAAACCCTAGACCCCTAAACCCCTAAACCCCCGAGTCCTGGAGGACTTCCGCAGAAATTGGTTTTGTGCCTGAGTTTCCACTGCTCATGTAGGAACCTGATTAAGAAACCTTGGGCCTTTGTTTAGGGCTCTTTTAAAGGGTTACTAGGAAGGATTACTACAAGGGATCTATAAGGCTACCATAACAATGTAGGAGCCTGATTAAGAAACCTTTGGGCCTTCATTTATTAGGGCTCCTTCTATGAATCCTACCAGGCCCAGGGTTCCCTAATCAGGTTCCTACATTACACCTCGAAGCAAAGAGCTGTGCGAGGCGCAGAGTTTGTCTCGGCACGTTAGACAGGGGCTCGATTAGACCAAGAAGTTCGATCATAGGGCCTTATAGTTTCGAATGTGGTCTAACTTTGCAGGCGTATAGGTGCCGTAAGAGCACCCCATGTAACCAGCCCCAAATATTGGTAGCCTCAAACCAACCTCAAATGCCAAAACCTTGAAGCCAAAAAAGCGCCCATGAGGGCTGTAATCGTAGTTGAAAGGGGCGGACCTAGCTAGAAACAGGAGCAGCGTGGCTTTGTCGCAATGTTTCGTACACAGGCAGAGGTTGACAGTTGTGTTTGTTTTAGGGCCTTTGGCCAAGACTGAGAACCCTCGAGAAGAGATAATGTACCCCGAGCCCTAATCTAGTCGTTCAGGACCCTATAATCCCTAAAAATCTTAAGCTAAGCCCCAACCCTCCGTCTCGAAATCGAAGTGATGAACCCAGAGATCTCAAGGGGACACTTAGCTGGATGAGTTAGACCCTTAGCTGAGCCTGCAACTCTTAAATGTCAAACATATAGAGTCCCGAACTCTATTGTTGAACCCGACCCCAAAACTGCAAACCCTAAAGCTCTGAAGCACTAAACCCTGCCTGTGGATCCTGGAACCTACTGCTATTCGAAGTCATGCCTGCGAATCAAGGGATCATAGCCTCCTCATTTCGCAGGGCTTGGAACCACAAGTACAATGCCTAGGATCCAGAGTAGGCCCTTATTCCCTTTTTTTAGGGTTTAGGTTCCCTTATAACACCCCCTTTAAACCAAAAATGGCACCCTTTTTATTCCTAGGT